ACATAGAGATTCAAAAGAGATGTTTTCCCCCCTTTTTAATTTAGGTATGATATAACGGATAAGATTCTTTATTTTGACAACTAATATAGAAAGTTGAAGAGTTAATTGATTATATAAAATTCAATGAAGGTTAAATAATCTTCGAACTACATAGTTATCTGCATGTCTCATCCATGAAGGTGCAACAATGTTGGGGGTTTTGAGAACCAGAACCAAGCTAACTGAGCAAGTTGAACTTTAGCTATAGTGTGTGTACTCTTTATTAATATGCCTGGAGGTAGTAAGTAGCTAATAATAATAAAAAAAAGATCAAATTCACTCAGTATTCCATGATTCCTTCACTACTATCTCAATTACAATTAAGTACAAATGAACTGTATTCAGTTGTGTAGGAAGGCACTAAAACAGTCCAATACATTATTTAAACTAATTTTTATGTTAAAATAATTAAGATTTATATGCCACCCCAGACTGTTTGCTGGCCCTTGCCTGGCCACCCCTATGAAAAAATCCTGGCTCCGCCACTGGTTACGCAGCACGTTTGAGCTTCAGCAAGAACCAATGAGGTTCATTCTCGTGTTACGCAGCACGTTTGAGCTTCAGCAAGAACCAATGAGGTTCATTCTCGTGTTACGCAGCACGTTTGAGCTTCAGTAAGAACCAATGAGGTTCATTCTTGCTCGTCAAGCAGGTTCGGTTGAGCTTCTGTATGTTCGCTGATCAATGTTTATATGTGAATACAAGTCTAAATTCAATCTGTTCATCATATAAAGAGATCGAGTCTCTTCATAAAATTTAGACAAAACCACTCAATTCATGGAATGTATGAATTCATATGAATATGGATTGTTGTACGATTTCTTTATGAACTTTTTGAATAGCCGTCTATGGAGGGACAGAAAGCTCTCAGATTTAATTAAAATATCCTCTTTTTTTTTTTTTTTTTAGATGAGCGAAAGTCTTACGGCTTTGGAACTACACGAGGGTGAACATTTTTGGGTAAACTATCTTATCCCTTTAACTCGCTAAACCATACAAAACACTTTATCCCATAATAACATGCTAAAACAGTCAGCACACGTACCAACCACATTGCAACAGGCTGGCAACACACTAGCAATCACAGAGGCACTGGTTACATCTGTGTAATCCGATCATAGATGAGACATATCGCGTCTCTCATATTTGAATCCAGAAATTCGCGCAGAATATTTAGTGTATAACGTTAATGGCATACCTGTGTCAACTGAACTTCAGATGTGATTCATAACCCGTGTCGCTGCATACTGATTTCAGTCATGCTGTGGTCTTGTAGTGGTAGGTGTGCTGTGTATTATACGCAAATCCAAATGTTTTATTCGGACGGTTATTTTCCGCCAACGATGCATACGTTGGCGCCAAAGTTCAAAAGTAGCCTACTTGTTGATTGACAGGTGAGTAGGCGGTGCTTCAGGACGCTACTACAAACCTTGCAATGTGATCACGTGCCTTTCTGGCTCTATGGATGAGTCCGAAATCGCATACTCTCTTGAGTAGGTAGTTCTTATTTTTGAATAAGTAATATGAATATGAATATTGAATAAGTAATATGAATGTTATCATCTAGTCCAGTCGCTCTCAACCTCTCCTGCAGGGACCATATTTTTGTTTTAATCCTGAAATGGCACACCTGATTCAATTAATTAAAGGCTCAAAGGCTTAATGTGTAGCTGACTAAATAAATCAGGTGTGCCATTTCAGGGTTAAAACAAAAACATGTCCTGTTGGGGGTCCCTGCAGGAGAAGGTTGAGAACCACTGATCTAGACGCACTACATTCGCCATGTTTCCTTTATCACGTGACCTATAAGCATCAGTTGCGTCGCTTCACTGCAATTCATAAATCCTCTACCGTGGCCTCATGGGAGAGTAAAGTGTCCATCCAATGCACACTTCAAAATCACGCCGGAAGAAAAGGTCATCTGGGTACTTTTCGCCGACTCCATGAGTGCTGTGAATTCAGATATACTTCTTTTGTCACATAGGGTGAATTCAGGTTGATTGGGATACTTTTTCCCAGTCATATCAATGGCAAAAAGTGTCCCAGTCAACCTGAATTCATCCCACTGTTTTACGCCTGCTATATAGGGAGAAGTATGCGATTTCTAATGTATGTTATTTTAGTAAGCCCATCACAATCCCAGTTTACATCCGTGTTTATACTCTTCACTTGTAATCAGTTCACGATTCGGTTTGAAACATATCAGAAATAATCAGAAACATTCTAAAAAACTCTCTCAACATGACACATTAGAACTAGCAACGTTCTAAAAACACTCTGAACCCCCTAGCAACCGCATAGCAACATTCTAAAAAACTCTCTCAACATGACACATTAGAACTAGCAACGTTCTAAAAACACTCTGAACCCCCTAGCAACCGCATAGCAACATTCTAAAATGCCACTCACAACATGACACATTAGAACTAGCAACGTTCTAAAAACACTCTGAAACCCCTAGCAACCGCATAGCAACATTCTAAAAAACTCTCTCAACATGACACATTAGAACTAGCAACGTTCTAAAAACACTCTGAACCCCCTAGCACCTGTATAGCAACATTCTAAAATGCCACTCACAACATGACACATTAGAACTAGCAACGTTCTAAAAACACTCTGAAACCCCTAGCAACCGCATAGCTACATTCTAAAAAACTCTCTCAACATGACACATTAGAACTAGCAACGTTCTAAAAACACTCTGAAACCCCTAGCAACCGCATAGCAACATTCTAAAAAACTCTCTCAACATGACACATTAGAACTAGCAACGTTCTAAAAACACTCTGAACCCCCTAGCAACCGCATAGCAACATTCTAAAATGCCACTCACAACATGACACATTAGAACTAGCAACGTTCTAAAAACACTCTGAACCCCCTAGCAACCGCATAGCAACATTCTAAAATGCCACTCACAACATGACACATTAGAACTAGCAACGTTCTAAAAACACTCTGAACCCCCTAGCAACCGCATAGCAACATTCTAAAAAACTCTCTCAACATGACACATTAGAACTAGCAACGTTCTAAAAACACTCTGAACCAGCAACCGCATAGCAACATTCTAAAATGCCACTCACAACATGACACATTAGAACTAGCAACGTTCTAAAAACACTCTGAAACCCCTAGCAACCACATAGCAACATTCTAAAATGCCACTCACAACATGACACATTAGAACTATAGCAACGTTCTAAAAACACTCTGAACCCCCTAGCAACCGCATAGCAACATTCTAAAATGCCACTCACAACATGACACATTAGAACTATAGCAACGTTCTAAAAACACTCAGAAAACTCTAGCAACTGCATAGCAACATTCTAAAATGCCACTCACAACATGACACATTAGAACTATAGCAACGTTCTAAAAACACTCTGAACCCCCTAGCAACCGCATAGCAACATTCTAAAATGCCACTCACAACATGACACATTAGAACTATAGCAACGTTCTAAAAACACTCAGAAAACCCTAGCAACTGCATAGCAACATTCTAAAATGCCACTCACAACATGACACATTAGAACTATAGCAACGTTCTAAAAACACTCAGAAAACCCTAGCAACCGCATAGCAACATTCTAAAATGCCACTCAGAACACCTTAGAAACCTTCTATTAATGCCCTGACAACCTAGAATTGAGACAGTGATTTTTGTATGGTCTAGCACAAAAAAAATCTAAAAATCAAGTTTTTATGAGCTTTAAATGCTAAAATGTGACCAGTGATTGAAACACCACTTTATTTCTCCATTTCATTTAGTCTGAACTGAAAAGTTGTGCATGTCCAAACCAGAATGCATATCAGTCTTCTCTCTCTCTCTATCTGCAGCTATTAGTGTTTCAATTCAACAGCCTGGCATCTACACTAGAGTCCCGATAAAGACAGCACACTGCGGCATGAGGAAACTCATGTCCAATCAGATCAGCTGTCCTCAACATTGAGCCAAGCTGAGCGTATAAATTAGAGTAATAAATCAAGCTGATAAGCGAGCACAATCTTGGCATAAGAACACGAAAGGCTAAATTGCGTTACATTATCGTAGCACATAATGTGAGCCAGTCAGGTTTGTAAAAGCTGCAGCTATGCCAAGGACAAGTCAGGGAGGTATAGAGAAGGTACAAGTAGCACCTACTCACTTAATGTTGGCTTAAAAACAACCCAACGAATAACCCAACCATGGGGTGGTATACCACTGTGAGTTATTTTAACCCAAACAACTGAGTTAACCATTTATTTGTATTTATGCCATTATTTTAATAAATAAAATACACTTTGTTTTCAAATACAGATAGTTTATTGGAGTATAAACACAAGTAAATATGTTTTAACGTGTATTAAATTATAAATATTAGTGAGCCTAGTATGTACATATACACAATTATGTGTATAATAATAAATAGAATAAATAGAACATACACAAATGTCATAATGTGCAAATATTAAAATAACCTCAATAAATTCAAAACAAGCAATACATTTAAAACATACACATTAAATTCAAAACCTGTGCACATACAGTAGGCCTACACAAATTGATAGCAGAGATGTGCACACAGTACAGGAACGTATTTTATCCAACTGTAAGGTTATAACTAAAAATAACCCAATGAGGTAAACAAATGACCCAACACATTTTAAGATAACCCAACATAATGACCCAATATGTGTAAACCAACGGTTGGGTTAAAAAAAATAACTCAACGTTTTTTTACTGTGTGTATCGTCATGCTCATCCTCTAATTATTGCTGATTAGGTCTTTGTAAGTGTTTGTCGGCAGCGTTTGCTTTTCCCTGATCTGGGATCTGCTCCAGCGCTTGCTGCTTAGAGGCATCGATCAACACGTTTCGAAAGGGACATTTGTGTAATGAAGATGTGACCCTGTCTGTGATGGGCTGGACGTGAGAGTGCACTATGTAATGAAAGTCTTTTTATTACACAGGGACTGATGCCACACAACCCATCTGACTCATAGCGGAGGACGGAGAGCCCTGGGCCGAGGGGCGATGACTGTATTTCCCATGGAAAACTCCAGAAGCATCTCAAAGCCCTCTTTCTCTCACACACACCCTGCTGAAACAAACAAACAAACCGTTGTACCAACTTAAAGTCATCATGGCATTCGCAACTCATTTTGTTTATAAAGTCAGAAGCATTTCTTATTAAAACAGGAAAAAGTGCACTCTAAAAATGCTGGGTTGTTTTAACCCAAATGTGGGTCAAATATGGACAAACCCAAGTGTTGGGTTTAAAATGTAATAAAAAAATTTACAGTTAAAAGTGAATGTTGAAGTTGGGTTAAAATTTTGAATTACATTTTTTTAACCCAACATTTGGGTTTGTCCATATTTGACCCAAATTTGGGTTAAAACAACCCAGCATTGTTTAGAGTGTGGGAGTCATGCAATTGGAGGGGCGGGATTAAAAAGTAACAGGGATTTGTGATGTCAGAGGTGGAGTGAGTCATAACATGTTGATGAAAGATTATGAAAACAAAGGAGTAATGTGCATCAATGTATTTTAGACAACCGGGATTGTGTATTAAGAAAGTCTGTTTTGCTCATATTTATTTCCTTACCCAAACAGCCGGTATAGGAAGTGACTGGAACTTATTTATTTTGAAAGCGTTTTCTTGGCTTTCGTCCACTAAGTGTAGTGTTTTCAGGCTGTGACATAAACTAAAGACTATAGAGGGCAACTGTCTGTTTCCGGAAGTAAAAAGTAAAAATGTATTTTGAAAAATAACTTATAAACCAGCACTAGAGCTACGAGATTGTTAATCCATGGTATTGAAAAAAAAAAAAAAATTTTTTTTTTAAATTGGACAAAAAGACTAAACGTTTTAGTGAGGGAAAGAACTACAATCCCATGAGGCATTGCGAACAGCATCATTGAATTACAAACGAATTTAAAACTACTCATTAACAAATGTTGATTATATATATATATAAACAAAATATTTTAAGTTTAAAGCGTAAAAAAAACTTGACTCTGATTGGGGGAGGTGTATGTAGGGCATCATGGGTAATGTAGTTTTTCACCATGAATTCCGCTGTTAAAGAGTTACAGGTGAAACTCGAAAAATTTGAAAATCGTGCAAAAGTTAATTTATTTCAGTAATTCAACTTAAAAGTTGAAACTAATATACTATATAGACTCATTACATGCAAAGTGAGATATTTCAAGCCTTTATTTGATATAATTTTGATGATTATGGCTTACAGATATGAAAACCTTTTCACAATATTCTAATTTTGAATTTGGGGTTTTCATAAGCTGTAAGCCATAATCATCAAAATGTTGATTTTATATATATATATATATATATATATATATATATATATATATATATACATATTTATAAACACAATATATTTTAAGTTTATAGCAAAATATGCAAATGTATATATATATAAGTATTTTGAGAGCGTAGAGAGATCGACTCATGTCATTTGCAGTGGAGCAAATGAGATCTTTTGGCACTTTTTTTTTCTCTGATTGGTGAAATTTTCTGTAGGGCATCATGGGTAATGTAGTTTTTCACCAGGAATTCTGCTGTAAAACACAATTATGCTGGCTGACGGCTTAACAACCTCGTAGCTCACAGTATCTGTCTTTAAAGGTTTATAAGTTATTGTTCAAAATCAATTTCCATATGGAGAAAATGAAGGACTTTTGCTCTCTATTGGGTGTTTTTTTGTTTTTTTCACTAGTCTTTTATTATGTCCCACTCCAACCTCCTGTTTTAAAAGGAAATGCATCAACACAGGAAACAGAAAACTAGTCATTTCATGGGGTCTTTAACTAGTTTAGATGAACATGCTGACGTGTCACTGGCACAAGCGGGTTTATTAGTGTATAAGCATATCCAAAAACATGCATTATGGTTATTTAAGCTGGTCAAGGCTGATTTTGGTTATTTCAGCAGGGTCTCTCTCTCTATAACTACACTGTGTAAACCATTTAGAACAAGCTGCCCTTCTTAACTAACCTGTGACCAGATATTAGAGTGTTTCTCCTTTAAAGAGAGCGCAACTGAGTAAAAAGCTGCTTTTAGGTTGATTTTTTTATGTGCAAACTATGGCCAGTGCTCACGTGGATCTGTGAACAGACGGTTAAAATGCTGGAAGAGAGGATACATTTTCTTAATAAGATTTTATTATTATTATTATTCAGACCAAAGATTGACATGATTTTTTTTTGTTCAGGGAGGCTGAAGGATCTATAAGTATATTAAGCTAAAGCTAATGAACACTAACATTGCCTTAAAGGCAGCTCGTAAAACCACTTCATAGAGGTATATCTGAGTTTATACTTCTGGAATAAAGTGGATGGGTCCCAACACGGTTTTACATCTGTGGACTGGAATTATCTAATCAGTATTTAAAGCCAGTATAAGCCATGTTTGTAGACTGTTGCGGTCGTGTAGTGGCATTTCCACTCTGTGGCCAATAGGTGGCGCTGCAGACCACAGAAAAACAAGGTAACGCCAATGACACGTGAATGTCTTACGAATGTGTACAGCTCACATGAATAAAACATTAAGTGTTAAAAATATATTCTCAGTGACTTCTTCTTATTGACCCTTTAAAATATGTTTTTAGCTGTAGGATTTTTCCTAATGGTTTTCTCACATGCAGTATTGGCAGATTACAGTATTCCTCCAGTCTGACACATATGACTAATATTTGCAGTATAATTCAGAGCTCTATATAGGATGGTATTGACAGTGTCTGTGTCTTTGTGTATTTAAATCTTGTCTGAGAGTTTCTCACTTCTCTCAGAGGGGCCTCTTCACATCCCAGCATGCATCTGTTCAGGGGGCGAATATAACATTTTTATACATGCATAGTAAAACAAAATTAAACTGTTTTGTATGACATGAAGCATTTTTATTTATTTTATTGATTTTTTTATTTATGTTTTATTTTAATTATTTTATTTTTTATTTTATTTTAACCGATTCCCCCAAATGCTCATAACTGTAATGGATAAAAAAAACTATATATATTTTATTATATATATATAAAATAATCACACACACACACACACACATATATAAAATCAAGAATTATATTTTCATGAAAATACATGTCAAGAAAGTGACATGAAAATGGACATTACATTTTATATATATATATATATATATATAACATGGTAAATCATGACAAATCAAACTAGAACATGGTAAATCATGGTAAAGTATGGTAAATCATGGTAAAGTATGGTAAATTATGGTAAAGTATGGTAAACTATGGTAAATTATGGTAAAGTATGGTAAATCATGGTAAAGTATGGTAAATTAAGGTAAAGTATGGTAAATTATGGTAAACTATGGTAAAGTATGGTAAATCATGGTAAAGTATGGTAAATTATGGTAAAGTATGGTAAATCATGGTAAAGTATGGTAAATTATGGTAAACTATGGTAAATTATGGTAAAGTATGGTAAATCATGGTAAAGTATGGTAAATTATGGTAAAGTATGGTAAATTATGGTAAAGTATGGTAAATCATGGTAAAGTATGGTAAATTATGGTAAAGTATGGTAAAGTATGGTAAAGTATGGTAAATCATGGTAAAGTATGGTAAATTATGGTAAAGTATGGTAAATCATGGTAAACTATGGTAAACTATGGTAAATTACGGTAAAGTATGGTAAAGTATGGTAAACTATGGTAAATTATGGAAAATCATGGTAAATCATGGTAAACTATGGTAAATCATGGTAGTAAAGTATGGTAAATTATGGTAAACTATGGTAAATCATGGTAAAGTATGGTAAATTATGGTAAACTATGGTAAATTGTGGTAAATATGGTAAATCATGGTAAAGTATGGTAAATCATGGTAAAGTATGGTAAATCATGGTAAAGTATGGTAAAGTATAGTAAATCATGGTAAACTATGGTAAAGTATGGTAAATCATGGTTAACTATGGTAAATCATGGTTAACTATGGTAAATCATGCTACAATCATAGTAAATCATATCATACTAACTAGAGTGTGGTATATCATTGTAAATCATGCTAGAACATGGTAAATCGTGGTAAACATGCTACGCATATATGCTTGCATTTTGTTACTTATCATTTATTTAAAATAATTATATAAAATGGAGACCAGACCATCGGTGGCACTATAACTGTTAAACCTTTTAAAAAACATATTTTTCCAATGGTAAATTGCCTGTATTGGCGGTAAATGGTCTTTTCTATTATGTCAGTGGTTACATGCTTGCTAAACACAATTGGTTACACTTTATTTTAAGGTGTCATTGTTACAGTGTAATTATATATTTAAGTACTGAGTGATATTAAGCAACATGTACTTACTATAGGGTTAGGGTTTGGTTGAGGGTTAGTTGAATGTAATTATGCATAACTTACTGTTATTACTATATGGTAAGTACACGTAACATATGTAACAAGGACACTGTAAAATCAAATGTTACCCAAAACTTAATAGCTTTTTATGCATATGTACCTGTTAACCGTCACCAGTGCGTGGGCGCTCTGAAGCGTTTTTTTTTTAAATAGTTCAAAGTTACTACATATTTAATGTTATTAACTTGACAAACTATACATCATTAAAACGATATAAGACTCAAGTTTCAGTATTTGACCACTATTGTATTCTGAGAAACTTATAGTGACAGTTATGTCTTAATTTGTGTCAGGAGTTATGAAATTAAAAAACGAGTCGTTACCTTTAATATGAATTATGAGCGTCAGCTGCTCTCATTCAGAAAAAAACTCCCGTGCGATCGTCATGACAGCGCTTGACAAAACAACGTCCCTCAGGGCTTTTAGCTCAAACATGTGCAGATTTGGAGAAATATTGATAGATTCTCATAAGTTTACATCAGATTTCTATAGACAAGAATAATATTTATTGAATTTATACCCAAATGCGTCGATGTAATCATTTTGAGCGCTGGATACTCTGATCTACTGTATATTATCAATTCATACTGAAGTCTGGGGCGCTGTTGGACAGTAAAGTCCATATATGGATCACATGAAGAAGAGCCATAATCATGTGACATTCAGGAAGTCCTGACACAACAAAGCTATCAGAGATCGCTGTAAAGTGCAGATAAAGATGTTTTGAAGACAATAAACATGATTGCAATGATATTTGATTTACCTGTGTTCTTCGAGTCATGTCAGGT